CTTAAAGAGGGCTTGTGCGGCTCACTTGCCCGAAGTGCGGCTTGATTTCCCCACTGCTGTTGGCATGGATCCAAGTAACACGGAACCCTTGAGGCAACACGAACATCCTGAAGGCCAGTGTGGACTGAGCCTATTGTTAGCCAATTCCTAACGGTTATCTTTTTAAATTCTCACCACCAGCCCACCAGGCTGGTACCAATATTATCCCTAATTTATAAATGAGGGAACCGAGACGTGAGGTATTGAAGTAGTTGACCAATAGGCACTTCCCTAGTACGAACGGGAATCAATCAAGGGGCGCGTGAGGGACTCCCCAGTTGGAGAAGTGCCTGCCACGAAGCCAGACAGTCTCTTAGTTACTCAAGTGCTCGATTATCCAGCCAAATCTACCCCAACACCTATTCTGCTCAAAAGGGGATACCCGGGGTCAACCTTACAGTGATCCTGTAAGGTTTTCCAAAGCTGTATGTGTTTACAGGGACAGATAGCCTCCGTTCTCCTGAGTGGCAGCTGGTGGCTAACCTTGTGGTTAGCAGTTGTACACTTAACCCAACCAGGACTCCTATTATTATCGTTCAAATGTCTGTAAGTATCAGATTCTTGTTGATGGACCTTTTTATTCTCTCTAGGGTTTTTCACTTTTATATTTAATAATAACGATGATTAAAAAAATAATCTCACCTGCCAAAAAGAGAAAGAAAGGAAAATCTTGAAACGGAAAGATCCAAACACAGCAGAACCTTGGGAGGGATATGCTGGGCCAGTTTAATTCAAGGCAGCAGGGCCAACTCAGAAAGTCACGGTCGCTGGTTTGGGGGTTGCAATAGAGCCATCTTGACAGATTTTCTCCACGGTCCCAGGAAAATCACAGACCTTCGTGAGGAAGAGGTTCTGGGAAAACCACATCAGAGAGGAAAAGGCAGGGAAGTTGTGCTGAAGAACTTTTCTCGATCACGACAGTGCGCCTGCTCTTCTTCAAGGGTAGCAAGGGTTGTCCTCTGTGACTTTTACTGGGTAACCTTAGCCCGTCCACCCTACAGCCCCAACTGTACCCCTCAGGCCTCTTGTTGTTCCCAAACCTAAAGACGATTTCGAAGGATTGCAGTCTAAATCGAGGAGCACAGACTTCTCTGGGGAAGGGTTGCAGACGCAAACACTGGCTCCAGGAGATTCTGTCCGGCCAGCGCGCCAACGCCAAGCCCTAGTGCCCCTGTAGCCCAGAGCCGAAGTGCCCCTGTGGGTTTCTGAGACGTTTATGGGAGTAGAAACCCCCGTCTGTCTCCACAGAGCGGCTGGTGGTCCCATCGACTAGCCTTGCAGACGCAGCCCGACACGGAACCGCTACACCGCCGGGCTCCTCATTTAGGCCTAGACGGGAGGGTCTGGAGACAAACAATAGCTTCACATTTTGATGGTTTTTGAAAATTGTTATTATTCAAGGTTTGTTGAATCAAGGGTCTATGATGTTGTAGCAAAACTCGTTCGCTTACTCTTGTCAACTGGCTTAACTGTTTTACAAGAGAAATGGATCCACAAAGCTCTCCCGCAAAGTGGCGGCACCAATGGCATCACTCCCACCAAATCTCCAAGGAACTGCGAGGGAAGACCTACCTTTTAACCAAGAAGCCAGAGCTCAGGTGTTGGTGGGGGAGGAGCTATAAGTCAAAGTCAAAGTCCGTCTGGGCCTTTCAACATCATCTTCAGCAAGCCGTCCAGGAGGTTTCTCCCACACATTGCTAAGCCTAAGCCTTTCTCCTGACCACTGATGACTATGCCAACTCGCGGGGACCCTCCTAAGGGAAAATCAGTATCCCTGGTTGGAGGGCGGGAGTTTGGAGTGTGTGAAAGTGTACGACTTCTTCAGTGAGCCCCGCCGAGCACTGGTATTCCAGCGAGTGGACTTGATGAAGCCCCTTGGGGGAGAACGTTGTGCTGGTCGATCGGAAGAAGAAAGCACAAAGGTATGGGGTCAGGGTAGAAGGGTGAGAAAGGTGAAGGGTAGAAGGGTGAGAAAAGAAAGAGGGCCGAGAGGGGCCTGGAAGCAGACCGTGAAGCCTAAAGATGGGCCCGTCTTCGTCATCCCGCGAGCATGGTGCCCCTCCATGCCATGACTGCTTTCCCATGGAAGTGTCTCAAGGTGAGACAGGTTCGCATACTTTGGTCAGTTCACATGACCAACGCGCCAAGACTGTGAAAGCGACAAGGGCGCTGTTCTCACGGGGCTTCAGGTATCATCACCCACCTGTCAACCCTGATCTTTTTAAAAGGTGATACAGCCGACTCCATAACTTTGTTTCAAGTCTCAAGAGCAACCAACCAGCAACTTCGACCCTGCTGTGGTTCGGAACCAGAGTCCGTCCCAGCTCACAGTGACCCGCTCTCTAGACAACAAAATGAAGCCCCCGTTCCTTCGGGAGCAAAAAAAGTGATCTTGATATCAGATCCTTGAGTCCACTCCGAACACTGCCTACAGAAAATCAATATCTGCATCGGTGTAAGAGAATCTCAAAACGGTTCAAACGTCCGTAAACAGCACCGCTGTTAATCTGTTGCCTACGACATACCAATGAGAAAAATCATGGCATCGTGTCATAAACTGCTATGCAAATGATGCTATTTGTAAGTATTAACATAATTTAGTGCTTACAGTCATCTTCTCATTTCTAATACTTCTCCCAGAATGGAGTCTTTCTCTGGACTCTTAGCCTGCAGGATAGTCTTTCATCAAAGAAACTGAAATTTTTAATAACCTGCCAGCATATGTTCTGTATGTGCCAGGGTGGGCTTGATGATACCACGTCTTCATTATCAAAAGGAACAGGTCTACAAACCGTAATAGGACATTAAAGCATGCCTGTGCTCATAAAGTAATGCTTTGATGTCTAAATGTGCACCATTACGGTGGCTCGGAACAAAAGAGAATTCGACTCCGAAATCCTCAATAATAGTTACTACACCAATGGGGATTGCAGGGCACTCCCCCCGGAATCCAATTTAACTGGGAAGGCAAACGGATGTCAATAAGTCTCTTACACAACAAAACAAAACCCCAGGAAAAGAAAGCTTTCCAGGACAGCTTAATTCTTATTTTTGGCTTCTCACCTCATCAAAACCTAAACACAGGTCTGAAGACTGTAAAAAGGTTCCTGAAAAAAATATTTTCCCCTTGTTTTAAAACAATGACTTGGACATAGATTATGAATTATTCAAGAGTTTCACATTTAAACACATTAAAGGTACTGCCGAATGTCTGTGGTGGCTGCTTAAAAGGGTACCGTTTGCAAAGCTTCTTAAACTCTGGGTCGTGACCCCATTCAGGTGGGGGTCGTTCTGAACATGCATAAAATTAACTCAGTATCAAATATGTCGTAAACCTGATGCAGATTTCTTGGGTAAAAAGGGGTCACGAGAGGAAAACGTTTAAGAAGCTCCAGACTGAAACTAAATATGGAGCAATCAGACTTCTAAGTACAACTCCATCAATGGCCAGTATTTTGCTTTAAAAAACAAACAAACTAACTAACTAAAAAACAGAAACGCTTAAAGTCAAACACTTCAAATGTATCAGGAGAATCTTGAAAAATAATTGGTTTGAAATACTGGCAGCAGCAAGTGCATTTCACATTATTTCCATTTAAAAACAAAACAAAAGAGACCCCAAGCCCCAAGCACACACTTTCCAACTGTCAACAGTCCTGTTTTGCAAAGAAAACTCTGTCAAAGGGAAAGGACGGTCCGGGTCACGGAGCACAGACAAGGGAAAGCTCGATGGGTTTCAAAATTAAATACCTTTTCCTTGTTTTATTGTTTTATTCCCCTAGAAGAGTAATTCACTTTGGTGTCCTGTAAATAATCTGCAAAAAGCTGGCCGTGACAGGTAACTGTGTTCAGCCCCTTCACCGGCGGGAGGGAAAAGGCGGCCCAGGATAGATCCTGGGCAGAGCAGTAACATTGGTCACAGGGAGGGCTCTCTTCTGATGGCTCTCTCGTCATCTCCCTTTCACAAGACTCATGCGGTTCCCTCCAGTGTGCCCTTCCCTTTTTATCACGTGTGGCTCGATCCAGAGGCTGCGGGAGTGGGTGCTCAAAGCCCACCGCTCTGCCGTCAGGTAGGGAATGGTGTCTGACATGGCCTCATCGGTCTACTTTACCCAGCAGGTCAGGGGCAGCCGGATGAACAGAAGCAGGGAGACCCAGGCCTCTGGCTGCCGACTGAGGCCGCTTTGAGAAGGATGGCTTTCCTTTGCGTGTTAGATCATATACATGATTTTAACAGTGAAGTCAATTGGGAGTGGACTGAGAGGCTGTACAATTCAACGTGTCCACCTACCAAATGGACACGGGAGCTCCACACAGAGCAAGGCCACAAACTTCTGACCTATTGGTCAGCAGAGGGTGCCCTGAGTGGGATGTCCTATTTCCGAAGCTTCTCCTGGGGATCAGTTGTTGTTTATGTTCCCTTGGGTTATTTTCAAAAACATACAAAACTCTGACAGGATCCTATTCGCCAATAGAGTGTCTCTTTCATAACGAAACGCAGCTTAGAAACAGTTGTCAGAATTCAGCGATCAGAGCCTCTTGGAGCAAGCGATGATGAAGTTTGGTTTTTACCTGAACCGTCAAAAATTGTTACTTCACAATCAACTTGTAGACAGGATGAAGACTTTTAGGGCCCAGGGGGTGGGCATGATTAATATTCTCATCAACCCTGTTCATTTTGTATGCTAGAATTAATGGCATCCATCCCACAAGAACAACAGTAAGGCCTCACTGCCGGTAGGTGATGGAGTTGAGTCTAGGAGAAATCAACTGAACTCTGACTCATAGGGGCCCATAGGATGGGATGGAACTGGCCCTGGGAATTCCTGAGACTGTGGCCCCACACCTCACGTCCCAGGGACTCCCGTAAGTCTACACGAAAGAGCCTGCCTTTGCTCGCTCGAGAACGTTCATCTCCTGCTGATAGACACTAGGACTTGGAGCAGCGATTCAACACTCACCTGTGCCCACCTCTTGTGCCAGTCCTCTTGGCTGTACTTGCTGCTCTCCTTGAGGATCCACTTGTAGCACTTGAGGTGGGCGAGGATGTCACAAAATGCAGTCCCATTTCCTCCAAACTCATTGTTTATTTTAAAGAGCCAGCGCTGGATTTCCAGGTGATCGGTGATCAGCTGACTCAGCCGTTCGACCATCTGTGGGGCCAAAGACATAGCAGCATTGGCTACAGCTCATTTCCTGGGATGCCAAAGCTGCTGCATGTACTCAGTTCTACTGCTCACATGTCTTTGAGTGATCTGTTTGCTCAGTTAGCTTCCAGTTGAGAGGACAGTTTGGGAAGACAAATATATACAGAAATCATTAACCAGTGGGACCAAAGACATGTTTAAAAGTATAGTCTTATTAAAAAGAAATTCTGAAATTACCATCTGGCTGTGAAGGCAAAATAGAGAATCCTCCAATATCTGTAATTGGATCTTGGCATGGTATGCTTTCTCAGAGAATTATGTGCTTACTTATTGATTGCTCAAATGATTTTTTTTTATAGTTTGAAGACTATAAAGAGTTATAGTCTTGAAAACTTTAACTGTTCAGAGCTTTGTTGAGCTTTTAAGTGCCATAATCTATAAAACATTTCATTTTCCCCCTCATTAATATACATGAAGTACATTACTTGGCTGGTCAATTGGTTATTTGTGATGAAGTGTATCATACAGGAGATAGCACATTTGTGGAAGCGAGCTCCTTGTCTGGACTACACACCGAGTGTGTATTAAGTTTAAATCGCATTCCCTCAAGAACTGGACTCAGAGACATTGCAATGTAAGGGATAGAAGTTCAGACTCTAATATACAAATGATAGAAGTATAACAATAATGAATAATAATGACATCTAACATTAGCGGGCAGCCACAAGGAGCCAGCACTTGGCTAAGCTCTACGATTTTTCCCTGTTCCATTCTCACCGTCATCTATGAGGTGTTGTTTTGTTTCTGACTCGTCTCCCTCATTTGAGAGAACTGCCTCATTGGCCTTGCTTGGTCATGATCTTTACGGAAGCAGGTCTTTCTGGGCAGGTGGATTTGAACTGCCAACCTTTCAGTTAGCAGCAGAGTACTTCACCATTGGGCCACCTGGGTTTTTACACCTCTAAGACAGGCATCATCATCATCATCATTACTAAGGAAAAGAATTGGTTTCATAAGAAATTCAGCAAACACCAGTAACAGATTCAAATAAGAAATGAGCCTTTAAAACGCATCTGATTTAGATGGTACTCAATGACAGATTTTTATTCTGAGTTATTGTAGAGGAAAAGTCACCTGAAAAATCTAAAACCAATCTCTTATTTCTGACATTCCTTTTTGTTTAAAGTTTTTTAAAATTGTAAATTAGGTGGGGGCTTATATTTTAGATCATCAAGTTTGTATGCAATAGTTTAAACCATACATCAAATCCCCCAATAGCTTACCCCTTCACGTGCTCTCGGATTTCTCGGCCCCTTTTGTAGACTACGATCTCCCCTTTCACCCAAGTTAACACCTGTCAACTGCCGAGCTTGATGCTTCATCTCCTCTCCTTATCTAACCCCGCCTTGGCCAACTCCCAAGTCTGTTCCCTTTGCTATGAAAGTCTTTAACCGCCACCACCTACCACAGTGGTTTCATATGGTATTTGTCCCTTTCGGTGATTGCCTAATTTTACCCAGCATAATATTGTCCAGGTCCATCCATGCCATTAGGTGTTTTGGGGTTTCATCATTGTTTCTTAGCGATGTACAGTATTCCATTTTGTGTGTGCACTGGTTTCTTCTTTTTTTAGAAAATCATTTTATTGGGGGGGGGCTCTTAACAGCTCTTATAACAATCCATCATTCAATTGTATTAAGCACACTTGTACATATGTTGCCATCAACATATCCAAAACAATTTCTTTCTGCTTGAGCCCTTGGTATCAGCTCTTTTTTCCCCTCCTTCCTCCACCCTCCCACCCTCATGAGACCTTGATCAATTATATATTATTATTATTGTTGTTCTTTCGTGTCTTAGACTGTCCATTGTCTCCCTTCACCCACCTTTCTGTTATCCGTCCCCCTGGGAGGGGCTATATATCCAACTTTGTGATGGGTTCCCCCTGTCCCCCCGCCCCCCCACCATACCCCTACCCTCATGGTATCACCATTCCCAATACTGTCTTGAGAGTTTTATCCGTCCTGAAATCCATGTGTCAAGAGCTCTTATTTGTACCAATGTTCTCCAGTCCAGCCAGATTTGTAAGGAAGAACCGGGTCACGGTGGCGAATGGGAGGAAGTATTCAGGAACTAGAGGAAATGATGTGTGTTTCTTCGGTGCTATACTGCACCCTGATTGAATCATCCCTTGTAACCGTTCTGTGGGGGATGTCCAATTGTCTACAGGTGGCCTTTGGGTCTCCACTCCAACCCCCCTTGGTAGCATTGATATAGTTGTTTGTTTTGGATCTTTTGATATCTGATACCTGCTCCCGTGGACACCTCATGCTCACACAGGCGGGCGTGCTTCTTTCATGTGGGCTTATTGCTTCCCTGCTAGATGGCTGCTTGTTGAACTTCAAGCCTTTAAGACCCGAGATGCTACATCTTTCAATAGCCAGGCACCATCTGCTTTCTTCACCACCTTTGCTTATTCACCCATTTGATCTTCAATGATCTTGTCAAGAAGGTGAGTATCAAAGTGCCAGGTTATTAGAGCAAAGTGTTCCTGTGCTAAGGGAGGCCTTGAGTAGAGGTCCAAAGTCCATCTGCTCTCTTAATACTTAACAGATAACTATATATACATTGGTCTGGATCCCTTTCATTATAAATTAATATGTTTACATATGTACATGTCTATAGGTAGACCTCTATAAATAACTTCTGCCTCCTACTTCTTTCCTCTGTTTCCTTTCACCTTCCTCCTGTCCCACTATCATACTCACCCTCCATTCGGCTCTCAGTCATGCCCCTTGGATACATTGCACTTGATCAAGTCCCACCAGGCATTAAATGCCCTCCTCAGCATCAATTTTAGATCTCTTGTTATTCCCTTATCCCTGAGTTTGTTGGCTCCCCACCCCCTCCTCCTCTCCCATGTCCCCCCAGGACCACTGGTCCCATTGTTTTCTCCTCAGGATTGTTCGTCCTGCCAATCTTATATCAACAGACATAGGGGAAAAGTAAAAGAAAAACAAACAAACAAAAACAAAAAAAGAGAGAGAGAAAACCAATAGATAGTCCCAGTTCTGTTGACCCTCATGCATGTTTTCCGAGCAAATCTGATGATGCCCCGATTTCTTAATCCTTTCTCCACTGATGACAGTTCAGGTTGGTTCCATCTTCTTGCTCGGTGAACAGTGCTTTAATGAACGTCACTGTGCATCTGGCTGTTCCTGGTCGGATTGCGACTTTTTGAGGCTCTACACCCTGCAGAGGGATTGCTGGGTTGAAACGCCTTTCTAGTCCCCGTTGCTGGAAGTACCACGGAATTGCTTTCCAGAGTGGCTGCATATAACGGCATTCCTCTCAGCAGTGCACCAGGGCTCCTGTCTCTCGGCCGCCTCCCTAGCATTTCTAGAATTTGTTATTTTCTGTTTGCTTGTTTTTTACCTTGGCTGCCGGAGGCACCATTTTACACGTCAATTCATCGAGGCCTGGAGAATTTACGTCAACTGCCAAATATCACTTAGCCGTGAGCAGCAGAGCTGCGATCAACCGGGTTGTCTCAGACTCCTCAACCCTCTCTCCGACTGCGGACGATGGGGAGAGGGCGAGTCACAGGCAGTAAGGTGGAAGAAGAGCAAGAGAAGAAACTGTCCTTACAATCACTAAATCACTTGTGGTGTATTTGAATCAGGCATTACCACGTTTGGGGCATATAATGTGCCACCCCCCCAATGACTAATGTGCCACACATATAATGTGTGTAGTGCATAAGAAACGAATGCATGTTATTTGCATAAAAATACCGTGGTCTCTAGCAACATTAGCTGTTTCTACACAGCCCTGCCCTAGGAGAGCCTCGGAGAGAAAGAGCCCCTCTGACTGCCCGAGGACTCTCTTCCTGTCGGGCTTCGCATCAGGCTCTCCCAGCCACCCTTCCAGGCAGTCAGCGAGCCGGACTCAGCACGTCTCTCCAGCCGGCCGAGCGCTGTCTTGGCTAGCCTCCTCTACCGAAGGCAGTCTCTGCTAGTCTCGCTTCGCTTCTCTTTTGAGGAGTCCGTTTTGCCCACCAAGTGGATTTTGTTTTAAAGCGAGAAAGGGCCCACGTGTTACAGTTCTGACGAAGTGTGTACTTGCAAGGTTAAAGTGATCCCGATGCAAGGCAAAGCCTGCTTTGTCGAGCTGCGTCTCTCCAGAATCGTCCTGCGTGGCTCGTGGAAGCAACATCACGATGGCCACCCTCGGGGTACCGTGGGGATCCCCGTGCACCCGCTGCGTTTCCACTAGAGGAAAATGGAATTGTCTCAGCCCCCTAGTAATCCAGGAGCAACTGTGGAGAATTTTCCTGTTTAAAGGGCAGCTCCCCTACTCGACTCATCAGATGGCCACAAACACACATCCCGCCCCGGAAGCTTTTCAAATGTACCTTTGAAGCCACACCCCTTCTTTCTCTGGTGATGTTGTACTAAGAAAGCACAGGTTCTATATTAATCCCATGTGTGCTGCATCAAGATCGATTTTTGTAGAGGTCAAAATGACCTAGAGGTCAAATGCCGAGCTGAAAACATCCTTTTGCTCGTGTGTAAAGGCAGGTCTTCTGGGCCTAGCTTCTGTTATCTTGCACGTTGCATAACTAGAGCTCCCAACTCCTGACACAATTGTTATCTGTTTCTTCCAAATCCTATTATTTGTTGCTTCTGAGAATCCCATCAACGGGCTTCTGTTGATGGATCCCCTAAAGTAATGAAAAGGATCAATAGTATTGTAAAGACCACACCACTGGAGAGAATTATGTGCTTTCTCTAAGTGAAAATTGAACAGTGCTTTAAAATAGCATCCCCATTTTTGATTACTTCACCAGATCTGTCTATAATTCATATGGCACAGATCCGGAGAGAGAATTCGCTCAGCTACTTTATGGATCAAGCCAGGAAACATTCTCTGTGCTCACACCGGACTCTGAGGCGACTAAGCACATCACTTAATCATCAGCCAAGCGACTTTATGTTATTCCTAAA